TTGATCAGTATGTGAAAACAAGAGCTGAAGAGGAAAGAAAGGAGAAGAAGAACAAGCTCATGCAGGCCAAAGATGATTTCAGGCGGATGATGGAGGATTCCAAGCTCACACCCAAGTAAACACACCTGCCATTTTTATTCTGAATGTTTCTGAAGATGGCTGTGAAACTTTTTTACTGGTTTGTTCAACAACCAGTTGTGGATATTCATTTATGATCCTTGTTAAACTTTCACTCTAATAGGCCAAAGTGACACTGGTTTCTTGCTTTCAAATCTGCAGAACAACATTTAGTGAATTTGCCATGAAGCATGGAAGAGATCCAAGATTCAAGGCCATCGACAAGATGAAGGACAGGGAGGCGATCTTCATCGAATTTATGACCGCTATGAGGAAGAGAGACAAAGAAGACTCCAAAACCAGAGGAGAGAAGGTAAGGCTAACCTAAACCTGCGCTCTGGTTTTTAAAGGTTTTATTTTGAATTGCAGAGCTTTTGCAGGAAGCTGTTTTCTGTTGGTAGAACATGTCATTGATCAGTGGTAGGAGGAATTCACATATGCAATGCTTAAGGTTTGTAACTAGCAGAAAAAAAGTTTTTCCTAGCTGAGCACCATGTGGGGTAAAGAAGAGTCTCTTTCTCTGACCACAACAATTCTCTCCTGATTTAATTAAATAGCACATTTTCACAGATTTGCAGCACAATAATCCTTAGCTGTACTCGTCATAAACTTAAATTTTACTTTGCCACAATTCTGGAAAGGTTTGCTCACGAGTTTTACTTTTTTCTGCTCAGGTTAGGCAAGACTTTTTTGACCTGCTAAGCGACCAACATGTGGAGGGAAATCAGCGATGGAGCAAAGTGAAAGAGCGGCTAGAGACTGACCCTCGGTACAAGGCTGTGGACAGCTCCGCTCTCAGAGAGGAGCTATTCAAACAGTTCATGGAGAAACAAGCAAAGGTAGGAGCAGCTCTTTGAACAGAGGAGAATGGACTGAAAATGTGTCAAACTCAAGGCCCCAGGGGCCAAATTTGGCCCTTTGGACTCCAGAGGGACGCATAAATAAAACCTTTAATATAACAGTTCTGTGCTTAAATATTGTATCAATCTAATCAAAGCAGTTTTTATTCATATACTGCCAGATTGCATCAGTTTCTCCAGTCATGGAAAATCAACAGATCCTTGCACTTTTTTTGCAATAATGCATAATTGTGACTTTACTGCAAAATTTCCACCAAAATTGTCAAAACATTGGGTTTATTTGATGCTAACTCCCACCTGCAGGTGGCAGTATTTCTGACTTCTGCTACACTGCTTCCTCAGCTTTACTTGATGTCAAATTATAGCCCATCGAACAAAAAGTTACCGTCATACATAACTGCAAATATTGTAAGATATTTTGCGAATATTTCTAAATTGGTCCCACAAATCTGTGATTTTCATTGCCACAAAAAACAATTACATCAGTTTCAAAACATGTCCACCATAAATGAATTTTAAGACACACTGATATGAGCAGCACTTACATCTTGCATGCATGATGCAGGTTTATTTTACTGATTCTGATACAACCGGCCGTTTAAGATCATTATGACCTTGACATGACCCAAAGTGAAAATGAGTTACATCCCTGCATTAAGGTAATAATGTTTTCCCTGCCCTATAGAATGTGGACATTGAGAAGGAGCGAGAGCTGGAGCGGCAGGCTCGCATCGAGGCCAGCCTCAGAGAGAGGGAGCGGGAGGTGCAGAAAGCCCGATCGGAGCAGACCAAAGAGATCGACCGAGAAAGGGAGCAGCACAAACGGGAGGAGGCCATCCAGAACTTCAAAGCCCTCATGTCTGACATGGTGAGATGCTCCAGGGTTTCCGTCGCTGGTGCTGCAGCACTCTGATCCTTCCTGAATCTTCAAACCTCCATATTTATTTATTTATTTCTTTGTTGCATACTTTGCGATTATCTTGGCTGTAAGAGATTTCTGCCCCTCCCTCAGGTCCGTTCTTCGGACGCAACGTGGTCGGACACGCGCCGCAACCTGCGGAAGGACCACCGCTGGGAGTCGGCTTCCCTGCTGGAAAGGGAGGAGAAGGAGAAGCTGTTCAACGAGCACGTAGAGGCGCTGGCCAAGAAGAAGAAGGAACAGTTCAGGCAGCTGCTTGACGAGACCAGCATGGTGAGAAGTTAAAACATGACGCAGAAAAATGTTCAAATGTAAGGAGAACTTCTGGGAAGGTTTCCAGCCTGAGCGTCACTTTAATTTTTTAAATGAAGCAGCTTATTTAAAAGTTTCGTTGTTGCAGATCACACTGACGACTACATGGAAGGAAGTCAAGAAGGTCATCAAAGATGACCCTCGCTGTATTAAATTCTCCTCCAGTGACAGAGTAAGAGACTATCTAACACCTGCAGCAATTCAACATATTAACTCAACAAAATCCGATTTGTGTGGTTTTCATGTTTTATGTGTTTATCTCTTTTTGCAGAAGAGACAGCGAGAGTTTGAAGACTACATCAAAGACAAATACATCACGGCCAAAGCTGACTTCAGAACCCTGCTGAAGGAGACAAAGTTCATCACGTACAGGTGTGTGCACTCAGCAGGAACCCTTTAAAAACTGCATTACGGACAGGCAAAATGGACCTAGAATTTTATCACAATATTTTTTGGTACTATTGCAGTCATAAAGAAAAGCAATCACTTATTTGTAATTGTAATGGCCTACAAACACAAATATTATTGAAAAATATTCAAGCCACTGCACTGAATCATATTTAAAATTTACTGATATTTACTGATTTTCTCGTCTCACGGTGGAGAAAGTAGTAAAAATAAAATTTCCAATCACACTGCCAGTTTTGTTTCTTTATGCATTTGTTGAAACTGTCACTATGCCGACAGTATGGTATGAGACAGAGAATCTGAAAAAAAATTAAGCTCCTGTTTTCCTGTAACGGTGTATGCAGCGCGTTCACAGGGTTGATTGGTAGCGTTAAGTTGTTAGTAAAAACTATCTTGTCGGAGAACTACAGATGAAAATTGGTGCTAAGTCTGGCATATTTGCATGGCTGTTTTCATGCACTCATGTTGATTAATATAAACTGTCCCTTATGAAATAAATTCACTGCTAAATTCAAAGAAAGTTCCTGTTTTTGTGGCTCTAATGGTTCCACTTTTCCAGGTCCAGAAAGCTGATCCAGGAGTCGGACCAGCATCTGAAAGACGTGGAGAAAATCCTTCAAAACGACAAGCGATACCTCGTGCTGGAGTGCGTCCCAGAGGAGCGCAGAAAGCTGATCATGTTCTACATCGAGGATTTGGACCGACGCGGCCCGCCTCCTCCCCCCACCGCCTCTGAGCCGACGCGACGCTCCACCAAGTGAACGGCTGGATCGCCACCATGACCAGTGACCTACTCCTCCCCACCCCTCCCTTTGGCCTGAGCATGACCTCCCCCAGCACCTCCTGAATCCCAGCCTTCAGGCTGGCCTCGCAGTGTTATTGCTGGGGGCTGACTTGCTTCGAGATGAACGGTTAAGGTCTCTGTGTTATGCCATCTCTTCATCCTGCATTTAAGGTCACAGCAGGGAACAGAGGTTGACCTGATCTCCAGTCGACTGTTGACCTCTTTACCTCTGAGGGAGAGGAGAAAGCGGTGAGGCTGTTTGAGCAGCCACACAGATGTAAGATAGCTGATGTAAATGAAGATGTGTGTGTGTGAGTACGAGTGTGGCGCAGGCATGTTTAATTGAGTATATGTTTGAGGCGTCCTTAAGCCTTACAGCTCCACTGTGCCAGTCACTGTTTATGCGGCACAGTGTGAATGTTAGTTTCAGCTCAGTGGTTTACTCCAATGTCACAGCAGTTTCTCTGTTGAATGAAATAAAAGCAACATCCACTGTTTTTCAACATGAGGTTCTGTTGATTTGTTTTTTCCCCACATAGCATGTTTGAAGTGAACAATACTGGTGGAGACAGTAGCTTATATTGAAATATAAACTGAGGACGTTGCATAAATATATCAAATATAACATTTTAGTTTAATAAATTAAACAAATTGAGTGCTACAGATCAGGTGAACAAATAAATTAAAATACAGATTAATTGAGCTGGGAAAAGCTTTTTTTTTTTTTTTTTAAGTAATATACTAATATTACTACTGAATAGACTGAGGCATCTGAAAAAACAAAATCTTAATTTCAGTTACTATTTTTGTGTTCAGCTATTGAAAGGAATATATATTTATATTATATATAATAAAAGTATACATTTTGGTGTTTATATTGAGAAACCCTAAAAGATTTGTCTCCTAATGGAGATTTGTCTCCTAATGGCACTGCAGGTCTTTTCAAGACCTGCAGTGCCATTTCTGATTGGTCGAAAATTGTTACGTCACAAGATGTTTTCGGACGTGTACCCTCGTTCAGTAGTAGCTACCGCTCCTTTCCACGTCGCCGGCGCAAGATCTTGCTTGCTAAAAATGCTGGAAGGTAACTCGTATCAATATGAGAAGACTTCATTTATTTGAACCAAAATTATTGCTTTGAAACTATAGAGGGCCAAATATATGACATTTTAAAAATAATGTCTAAGTCAATTTAAGAAATACATACTTAATTAAATTATTGATTGAGATAGTATCACAGTAAATTAAATATTTGTTTAAGGTTTGTATATTTCCAGTGCCTTATTCTAACATAAAATAATATAGTCAAGATGATTGGTCTGAAATTGACTTGATTGCGCAAAGTAACCAATCAGATGTTAGGGCCTATTCATAGACAGAGGCATAATACAGTACATATGATGAGATTCTTCACTGCCTCTCCTAATATTTATCTTTCAGTTGTACACACTAAAGTATTTGAATGTAAGATAGCTTAATTTTTTTCACAAATTAAAAATTTAATTATTTTATACTACCCTATTTGAATCAGCCATAGATGACGATAATGTTTATGCCGCTCTGGCTTCTTGAATAACGGAAAGATTACGCCAATTTGGCGCACGCTGGCATATAAATGATGCGGACCCCCCTTCTCTGCTACCGCATCCTCCCAGTCATCTTTGTACATCTTTGTGAACCATATTAAACTTAATTAACTGATTTACTTCTCAGTAAAATCAACCTGCATCATATTTATTCTAAGTATGTCCCTCCAAGCGAAAGAAGGGAGATAACCTGAACCTAATCTGCTGGTACTGAACCGAACACGCTTACCCTCGGCGCTGCTCCCAACCGGCTATGGGCGGCTTTCAACTCCCGCTCATCGCGGTGGTGCTAACGGTCTGCTCAGCTGTCGGAAACCCGGAGACACCCGCTCATGAAGACGGTGCTCCTCCTTCACGAATCGGTAAGAAGAACTGTTCACACCCATAGAGAAATAAAACATGCAGGCCCCTGAAGGCAGCCGTTGGATTCAGCTACTGTTAGCCATGGTGGCTAGCAACACATGAAACAGATGAAAAATAAAACAAAGGTTAATTTGTTTGTTGCTCATTTCTGAAAGACACAGATATTATAACAGCAAATGTCTGGCTGACTAACATTTTATTATCAATTGTTTTTAAAACGTCTTCACTGGTTCATTCATTGTATTTAATTTTCTACTGGTTTCATTGCAACTCTCTGTGATGGACCGACATGGAGAGTGCGTAATTATGAAATGGAAAATTAAAAAAAAATATTTTCATTTTTATAAATAGAAATCTGAATCTAATCAGAATCTGTACATGTGAATCAGCTGTATTTGAATTTATGTGTGTACTCTGACTAGGTCATTCTAACTCATCCACTCGAAACGTTTGTGACCAAAAAATGAGATGAAATGAGTGGAAATACTTTTTCACAGCACGGTGACAGTTGAGGCTTTCAGAAATGTTTTCGACAGAAATAGTATGAGAATCTTTTTCATTGTATCTACATTTTATATGGACATTTATTCACTCAAAGAGAGTGTACGAGATGTTTTTAAGGTTTGAAAAGGTAAAAATAACACCTTAAAATGATGAGTTTATGCTCAAAGGATTTCTAAACAAGCTAAATATTGAAACGAGACATATTTCCCATGTTTTAAGTGACAAAATCTGCCAATGGAACTAATACTTTTTATCAATATTCAATAATTATTGACTTAAGCAAGCTCAAGTTATCTGTGAATTTGTGTAGTCTTATTTTAAGTGTACTAAGATATTTGCACTAGAAACTAGTCAAAATACATAAGTTTTAGTTTTTTTTTTGCATTGCATTATCTTCCTTTTCTCTGTGCTCCAGCTGTGGTTGGAGCAGGTATAGGAGGCAGCGCGACGGCCAATTTCCTGCGCCAACACTTTGGTCCGGAGGTGCAGGTGGACGTGTTCGAGAAGGGCGAGGTCGGAGGTCGCCTGGCCACTGTAACCGTCAACCACAATGAATATGAGTCTGGAGGATCCATTATTCACTCCCTCAACCTGCACATGCAGGAATTTGTCAAACAGCTTGGTGAGTTATAACAAGTTTTAATAATGCCAGGGATATTCAGTCACAGAATATTTAAATATTTTGCCTTCCTCACAAAAATACAGCTCATTGCTTAGAATAAAATTTCTCCTCTCACCTATTTAAAGGTTTGAAATACCGTCGAAATGTGGCAGGAAAGACTGCCGTTTTTAATAGTGAAGAGGTGATTTTGGAGGAGACCGACTGGTACCTGTTGGATCTGTTCCGGCTTTGGTGGCGCTATGGGATCAGCTTCATACGGCTGCAGATGTGGGTGGAGGAAATCATGGAGAAATTTATGAGGTAAACATGAAAATTTCGATGTTGCTGTTTGTTTTAGGGGTGACAACATTACAACGTTTTGATACTGATATTGTAGCTTTGAGAATTGACAGGAACCTTAGTTGACCTATCAACACAAATCATCATACATGCTTTTACTGTTTGTTCTGTAGTGTGGAATCTTGGAAAAGGCTTGAGGAAGTGATATTAATCAAACAAAAAACAATGCTCAAGAGCAATAAGTATAAACCAATGTGTCTGTATGCAGGATGTAAGTGCTGCTCGTATCAGTGGGCTTGTATAATCCAATTCTCTCTTTTTGTTTATTGGCCTATATTGGATCAATTTCCGAAATCAGATCAAGATAACCTTGTTTTTTTGTTTTGTTTTGTTTTGTTTTTTTCTTGTTAGCTTAATAACGGTACTTAAAACTGCTTGCTGCTAACATTACATGTCCTTATATATATTTAGGAACCTCATTAGACTTTTTCAGAATGTATTCTTGCATTATTATGCCATTATCATGGTCTCAAAACAACAATGTTGTCGTATTGCAATAACTTCTGGAACAATTTATCATCCAGTGAAACAGACCTACGTATGGAGGAAGTTAATGAAGAGAATTTTGTTTTTAATAAAAAAGCATCCGAGAAATGAATTACAGACTCAATCATCCAGACTTTGTTTCTTGCTTCAATGTCTGCTTTGAAGCATTAACCGACCTGAAATAAATCAGCCTCCTCCCTCAGGAAGTGATTCATCTCTTTCCATTCAAGGCAACTCTCATCTTTCCACCTGTTTTTGATCATTTCGGACACGAGTGAGAGAAATGTATTGCCGTGTTTTCTAAATTTGTCTGTAATCTGTGTTTGCCATCTAGGATTTATAAGTACCAGGCTCATGGCTACGCCTTCAGCTCCGTGGAGGAACTCCTGGACTCTCTGGGAGGCAGCGGCTTCATCAACATGACCAGACGGCCGCTCTCCGACTCGCTGCTGGAGCTGGGCGTGTCGCAGCGCTTCATAGATGAGGTCATCGCTCCCGTCATGAGGGTCAACTACGGACAGAACGTCAGCATCCCCGCCTTTGTAGGTCAGCTCAGTGTGAAACAATGAGGGGTAGAGGAAGAGGAGGAGTGGGTGAGGAGATGAAGAGCAGGGAAGTGACAGGACAGAAACTGTGGTGGTGAACTCGGAGTGCAATATGACAAAAGCATCCACATCTCTGCTGATATAGGTCAGCTCAGAGGGGAAGAGAAGAGAGGCAGGAAATGAGTATGAGAGGCTGGAAGTCGAGAAACGAAGAGGGGAAAGTGAGGTGAGAGGAGGGGGGGTGGCCTATGGGAGCCGGGTAACAGGAAGGTGTGTAGGCAGCTGATAATTGGTTTATAGCTCTTGGCTTCATTTCTTTTCTGTGTGTGTGTGTGTGCGTGTGTGTGTGTGTATATATATATATATATATATATATATATTTTTTTTTTTTTTTTTTTAGGGCGGTTTTTCTTTGGTGGGCCCAAAAAAACCTTTGGGGGGGGGGGAGGGGGAAAAAAGCGG